ACAAAAAAACAAAAAAAACCAAAAAACCTTTGTACTACACTCTAAAGTCCTTCTTTGGGAGTAGAGGGGGCTTTCTGTAACTTTTCTCTTCGGACTGCATTATATACTTTCATTTAATGCTTGAATCTGCGTATTTTCCGGCAATAAAAACTGCACTGTAAAAAATAGCTGGTTAAAGTCACTAAGAAGATTAGTAAATTTACTGTCCATACAATCACTACCTTAACAGTAGTTTCACTAAGTATTGGGTATATTTACTAGATAAGATTAGTAGATCTAGAATTGATAAGTAACTTTCACTAGATATCAATATATCTTTACGACTCCCGCTTCAAAACTCACTATCTTAGCCAGTAAACTGAAAGATTACTATTCATGACAAACGCTTTACGAGGCACACTAGCTAAATTCACTAGGTTTTTCTTTCAGTGTGTGGAGGGAGCTTCCAAATCAAAATATTAATTAAAACTACAGCAAAAGATTATTCTCAGAAAAAATGAATCCCCTCCATCTGCATCTTTTTTTTTGCATGTTACTTGTGAGTGGTCGGAACTCTTAGCCGGGGTTGGGAAGGTACACGGAGGAAGGTACGCGAAAATCTACGGATCTACAAAGCAGAGCGGACAAAGATTTTTCAATATTTCAAAATATTAGACTTATTCTATATTACAGAAATTTTTCTCTCTATGTACTAAATAAAACGGAGTTCCAACCACCGGGACCCCCCTCTGGATCCGCTAATGAAATTTACACTGGTGGGCTACAAAGATGAGACTTATTTGTACTCCTGTACAAGGTGTGGTGGGATCTTTGCCATGGTATGCGCAGTAGACCTTGTCCCATGTGCATTTTGCCTACGATATGGATACACACATCTTGCTTTAATTTCTTTTCTTTATAAATATTTTAAAGTACTCAAGTCATTCCCTAAAATATACACAGGGTCAATCTAATAAAAATGCCCGGGGTATATAATGTACCATATACCGGTAGTATATGATCCCTGATTATATGTATTCCGATATACTACACTACTAGTACAAATAATTTCGATACCGATAATATATTTTATAATACATTACGAGGTTTACCAAATGGATCCTGATATATAATTTCGCGTGATTTACGTTCCTATGAAAGTACAAAAGTAATGATGACGTAGAAAAACTTGCGCACCATCTAGCGGCAATTCAGGTAATATATGTTTTTTGCACGCCATCTAGCGACAATTCAGTGAATAATCGTTGGTTTTGCATTGGTGATCGTTGGTTTCGCATCGGAGTCTGTTGATTTTGCAAACGAGTCTGTTGATTTTGTTTTTAAGGTTGTCTGTTTTGTATTTCATTATGTTTATAAAATTAGTTGTTAGTTTTGCATAAACGTCTTTTTTTACCCTTTCCGCCGCCCATAGACATGTAATATTTTTTCATCAAAAGACGACGAATTCCTCTTGATATGTATTAAACATGAAAAATGATATTTATTTTGTTTTTGAAGTTTTAATTTAGAGTAAGTAATCATATTTGGAGGGTAAAAGCGTAATTGTTATAGGATGTTCATTATGATCATCTTCCAAAGAAAAGTTCCGTTTTCAGTTGCCATGCCTTATTAACGACTTGTTCAAACTGAATTGACTGAAATACGAAATCATATAACTCATCTGAAAACAGACATACGTTTATATTCACAAAAATAAACTAAAATTAATTGATAAAATAGAGTAGATTTACATTATGTCAAATGCTCCGTTTTCATCAGTGAGCCTTTGTGACGTCATGAAATCACAAAATCAAGAACGATAAGCGGGTAAGAAAAGTAACAAGTGGAATACGTTTTATCTTTATTTTACAATAGAACAAAGGCCAGAAACTATAAGTGCTCGAAATTCAACATTCTTACATATACAGCTGTGGGTTTAAAAAGTGAAATTACAGTGTTAAGAATCGTTTCCTACGACCTTTAAAATACTATGTACATTCCTTTTTTAGGATGAGAGTAACACAGGATATGATCACTGGCCTATCTGTGGGATTCGCCACGTGGATAGCATTTGGAATCATCGTTTGTGTTTTATGGAGATTCTTCTGTAGTAAATTCGACAAAAATGATGATGATGAAGGACATAATAAAAATCCGTAGTAGCCATTGTAAATAATAACGTTGAAAGAGACTAAAATTCATTTGGTATATTTGCAATTCATATTTTGAATTAATTGTTGTTATGATCTTCATAGGCAACGAAAAATAAAAAAAAAGAATATGTCTGGCTAATCATAAAACAAGTATGCATGAATAATTAAAAATACAAATTATTTTCTCCTAATTATATCTATGTTTGATATTGATTTTTTACATAGAGTATGAACTAGACAGACGATATGTACGGCTCCCCTGAGAATACACACCTAGTTGCACTCTGTTTATTCTTAATAAAGACCCCAGAATTCAAATTTAAACAGTTATAAGTTTTTAAAATTTATTAAGGAACAAAAGCAACACATGGGAGATATACGATCCTTTGGATGAAAACAACTTTATATGTGATTATTAAATGATCATCGATACTTGCTATTCTTTCTGTTACTATATAAACAATTGTGTTTGATATGGAAATATATATTTTGTCGTTATTTAAAATTAATTTGTTGCGTTAACATTTTTGTCTAGTGAACTGTTAATATCTAAAATCAAGCTTTTTATATGAATTTTAGATTACATTGTATAATTGTTTGTTGTAGTATTAGCATTTGTTTAAAGATGTCATTTAATTGAAAATCACGTACACACTGAAATCTTATCTAATGATGTTAGTTTGACTTTTCAATTTCATAGAAAATCTATAATATTCAGATGCTCAAACTTGTAAACGAAAAATAATATTTTTCAAACGTTAAAGGTTTCACCTATGATCTATATATAATGAGTAGTGTCCTACAAAATGACTTAAAAATATCAATCAGACAATATTAATGAAAAAAAAGAAACATTTGATTATTGATTTGAATTTTTCAAAGATAAAAACTCCAAATTTATTACACTGTTTTTTAATGACATAATATGAAAATGTTTACAATTAAGCTGTGACGTATTCTTCGAAAAAATCTTTTCATTTCAAGACATGATTTTAAAAAATATTTCACCTTTTACAATTTTTTTCAAAATGTCTATATTTGTGTATAGAACTAACTGTTTTTAATTATTTGTTGTTGAATTCAAATGTATTGTTTTGAAATAAGATACAGGTACCTTGAATATAAAAGAAATAAAAAAAAAGATTAGGGATAAATGTAATCTTTGGTTTAGTATGAAAATTTGTTAGTATTCATCTTGTTTATGAATCACTACTCTCATGTACTTATCTATATTAATAAATTCCTGTATCCTTATATAACATTAAAACAGGACACACACATGCACTGGCTGTTACTGCTGAACATAAATAAATGTATTACAGTGTTGTAATTGTTGGTAAAATCTATTTTGTCCTTGTTGTTATTTGTAATCACTATTGATACTTTACAACCATAATGGGGTTAAAAGCAAGAGTTTTTCAATCACCATGATTTTACTTTAAAGATAAATTGTGATTCTAAAAACAATGTAGAGATATTTTGAGTAATTCAGAAAACAAAATTACCTTTAAAACACTCAGTTATATCAAAACGTAAGACCTTCTTTCTACAATTTGAAAATAAATCAACAAAATATTTTTTTGAGATCATACACAGCTGCATCTTATTAATAACAAGAGCTTGGAAATTTTTGAAAAGTTGTGATTGTTCATATAAAAAACTTAGTTAAAACGTACTCTGATTCTACACGTAGGTACTCTTAAATTGAATATAAAAGGATACTGAAGTTCTTCATTGTAATGTATTCTTCACAGACCAGGTCCTTCAACAAAATGTTGGATCTCCCAAAGGAACTTTTTTTACTTAATTCGTTAGTCGATCTTACTGTAAAGCATACACCCGGTAATGTAATTGAAAACTTCTGCGGGAGACAACTTTCTGTTGCCTTCAACTCGAATTTCAGATGTATCGACGACGTCTTTGCAATTTAAAATAGTACCTTTCATTCATACGCCGACTTCTGCTAAAATACTCAATGGCATGCCCTGTAGCAACCGCTAATGATAAAACGCCTTTTAATGATACAAATATCATCATGCATTGCAACTGTAACGCTTAATGCCATAAATTATTGCATTAAAGGTTGAAGTTTTCAACTGCTAATGCTAATTCGTCGCTTAATGATCATGGCAGATTTATATCATTAAGCGAATGAGCATGTACACTACTGTATACAGGGAAATTTTCTCCCCCGTTTTATTTTCGCCCCTTTCGCCCTCTTCTTGATTGGGCGAATTTAGAACGGGGCGAATTCAAATTACACAGCAGAGTTTCTTAAACAGAACTATCACAGGGCGAATTTAAAACGGGGCAAAATTGTTTGCAAGTGCAAAAGAGCGAAAATAACACGGGGCGAAAAAATTTCCCTATATATAGTATTAATTCAATGATTTATGGCATAAAGCTTTGCATTGCAACACTAAATGATATTTGTAGAATGAAAAGGCTTTATATCATTAGCGGTTCCTAGAATGCTCAGAGTACGACCACATTTTAAAACAAAAACAGACTACTGTTGCAGAAATAAAGAAAAAAAAAACCAAAATTTAAAGTCAGCTTTTCGAAGATTCTCGTAAAATGGCTTGGTTAGGAATTGAAATCATGTTTTACCTAAGCAATATATGAGAATTGAACAGTGTGTCCGTTCCACGATGGGTACTTTGTTCTCTTGAGCTCCCGTTCACGTGGCTGGAATTTCCGATGATCCCCGTTCAGTGTATTTTTTTATGATCAATCCCCATTTGTAATCTACACGTTTTATAATTAATTCTCATTATTTTTGAAATAAAGTTACTTTTATTCTACCCTTTAAAGAAGAAAAGAGACATAATATATGTAAATATCATTTATTTAAACAAATCTGTAAAATCTAACAGTTTGATATAACACATTTGTTGAAGACTTTGCTTTGAAACAAGTCGACAAGTATAATAAAGGCTGAACCATTCACTTTACATGTATAAATGTGCATAAGAGTAACAGGCAAAGAAATAATTTAAATATACAAACAATGAATACATTGACATGGATATCTTAGGACATAGTCAATCTCTCTCTTTCATTCTCTCATTCACTCTCTTACATATGCTCATACATAACTACATGTATCCGTCCTAGGAAAGACTACGGTTTATTTCATGCACTATTCTATGTCTGAGTATCAAAACAAAATTTGAAAGACAACACAATTTCAGGCTTATCCCAAATGATTTATGAAATATAAATATCATTGTAGGACATTTTGATGTGATCGTGATTGCATTTGTATACTATACATAATGCATAATAACTTTTTAATCTTCATCAAAGAATCGCAAAGAAATTGAAGTCAAAGGTACATTCAATGCCTCTTCACTCATTTGACCATGGCAGCTACTTGATTTCCGAAGTGGTGAAATGGAGTATTCTATAGTACAAAGTCTTGTCATTAAATTGTGCAGTTTCTTCTAATTCCAGCATAAGACTTTATTTTTGGATTTGTAAATGATCTCTAAAGATACGTTTTTATCATTAATTCATTAATATTCAATTATTAATCATTAATTTTTCTTCTAAATCCGAGTAACTTTTACTGCACTCCTAACACTTTGACAACTTGGCTTTAACCAGGAGAATGAGAAAAGCCAGAATCCGGTATGTCAGGATAATGGTCGAAAGCATGACAAGGTCAAAGCAGAAATTGTCCTGAAAGGAAACAATAGAATATTCATTACTTGAAGAGACTGATTACATAGATGATGATTTAGAGTGCTGTTAACCAGACTCAGAGGTGAGAAAGAAGCAATTTAAGGCAGACTATCGAGGGAGAAAACAATCGATTTTATTAGATACCTGAAGATAAGGGTCATGAATATATACATGAACTAAATCAACGTTAACTAGAGGTGAATTACACGAATGGAGGTACAGTGAAACCTGTCTAATCCGACATACCCGGGAGGCTTATTTTATGTCGGAATAGACAGGGTGTCGAATTGTATATTTAAAAAAATGGAAGCAAGTAAAATGGGAGGGAAATTTAAAGTTGGAATTCACAGTGTGACGAATTGCTCAGGTATCGGAGTAGACAGTTTTCACTGTAAAATCATGTAAGTCTTACAGAGAATAGCAACCATATCTTTAGGCGAAACAATTAAGGTTCTTATTGAGCGTTATTTTCCCCAATACTTACCTCGTTATAATTAAGACTATGAATGATTTCTTTTCCCGTGTGGATACACACCGTAGAATTATCATCATCACAATCTATAAAGAATATTCTTTTACTTAGTTTATTCAGGAACAATATTTATATACACTTTTTTTTTAATCAAAATAGATTTTGATATTTTTTTCTAGGGAAATGTTTCTTTCATATAAACATATAATGTACCTTAAGAAACCTACTCCAAATAAAATTATATCATTTAAAATATTGAAAACACTTCTTTGAGTGATGTATATTTTTTCATGTATGTATATAAAAACATATGCTACTTACTAATATGTCTGACACCATTCCACTGATTTGTAATCATCAATTCATTGCTGTATAAGAACCAGGAGGAATACTTGACCCACAGAAAGTAGTCGGGCACCGACCTGAAAGAATTCAAAATCAAACAACATTTAGTAAGTATAATGAAAGACATGCATATGATTAAAAAAAAAATAAAAGCTATAATTTCGAAGAATTCATCACATTAAAAATATTCAAATTCCTACTTTTGGTAGGTTTTGAGAATAATAGTTTTTAAAATTATTAAAGAATTTTGAAATTTGAATATCATTTAATTTCAACCTACCCATTATTTAGGAAATACCCTCCAAAGAGAAGAAAAGGGGTCATGAGGAGAGGTCCTAGGGACAGAGCAATAGTAACTGACGGTGAGGCGGCAGATATAGCATAACCTGAAAAACAAATAGGAATTTAGGAAGAAAAGACTAAAACTAAAACAACTTCTATACTGATACATGTATGGCAATGAAGATAACTTCATTACTGATTGAGTGAGAATGATAACTTTGTTATTAATAAGTCAAGTTTTATTTTAAACTGAATTTTTAATCATGATTGCCTTTGATTTTTATCTGTATGTTTATCTTAATCGGAATAAATTTAAAATTTATCTTTATCATTTAAGACATTATTTTGTGCAATTATTTTAATATAATTATTATATCTAAGACAAATATTCGCAATAATTTACCAAACGAAGACGAGGATGCTGCAGCTAATATAGAAATAATTGTAGCATTGATGAAGGCATTGAGATCATGTACAAGACCTAAAAAAGATACAAAAGAAATTTGTATTCATGTATCAGGCTACAAAACCATAAAATGAGAATATACTTAAATCAAAATTTCAATTCTGTGTGACTTTTGAAGTGGGCAAGAAAATAAAACCAAATTTTCACTGAGGACACTGTATATGATTACAAACTTACAACTTTTTAAACATGTTTGTTGAATTAAATTTAAGATATTGAAAATTAAGATTTTGACTTAAGCCTGTTCTCAGTTTATGGTTTTTGGGTCTGACATCAAAAAATTATAATAGAAGGAAATCAGTTTCATCATTTAACATTATAGCTGTGTATGAAGATATCAATCATTTATTTTCAAATTTCCATGAAAGATAGAGAATAAAGAATGAAATTGAAAGGCGGATTAAATTTCTTTTGTTTTTTTTAACCTACATCTTCTCTTTGGCTATCCAATATACAAATAGTTGAGTGACTCTTTTAACCACAGTCATCTAAGTGCAAGCTTGGCGTAACCATGAGATGTTTGCACTTGAAAACATCTTACTGTAAAATACTTTACTAGTATATTGATTTCAGTGCGTACAAATATTTGTTGTAATACACACTTTCCTTCATTGTTGGTCTCAATGTTTTTGACATCATAAGTTTTACTTGCTTTTGGTGGATGTGTTTTTTCTACGAAAGCACGTAGATAATTCATAGAACCAATACGTAGGTTAATTATTATTCACGTGGGTGTAAAAATGCGGGAATAGCTGTTTGACAGATTACAAAACATTGGTATCTCACAAATAATGATGATTCCATAGTAATCACTAAATAAATTTTTGGAGTTTGAAATATTTTGGTGTCATATTTGAAGGTAGCTCTCTTTTAATTTCATCTTTGTAAACTTTTGTTGCAGTGATTAATCTAGGAAATCAATCTCACCGCTCATCCAGTAAACAATGGCTATGACCATCGTGGAGTTGATGACGAGAAATGGAATCTGAAAATTAAAGTGAAAATAAATTGTGATGCATTTTCTTTGATAGAAATCTCAGGATTGCTCGATATTGTTTTAAAGGCAAAAAATAAATTTAATAAGCTGTACAGAACATGAGTGTATATAGTTAACTCTATAGAAAATATTAAAATTATTGATATAAAAAAAATACTTGATGTGTTTTTCAAAGTGACTAGAAAATGAAACATACCTCAACGGCCATTTTACTGAAGTAATACACATCAACTCTGTATAGACCAGCGCCATGTTCTCTTAAAAAGACCGGTATTTCTTTAGGGAAAACCTACAATACGGTAATATCTTAGATACAGTGATGAAATATCAAGAATGAAATAAAATATATGCTGAAAGGATTACAGAAATTCTAAATTTTCTTAATAATTATTTTTTTAATATTACTTTGGGCTACACATAAAAACGGAATAATCATTTATGATGCATTTCATGTTTTGGCTTGAATTTTCCGTTCGGCAAATACTCTTGAATATATTAATAAAAATAAAATTCTGTTCTTAATTCCCTGTTAAAAGAAAGAAGAAAGAAATAAAATTATCAAACAATACTCACATTTAAGACTGGAAATAAATTGTTATAGGTAAAACTGATGATAAGAAGAAAGATAACTCCGTTGATATTCATGATGTCCTCTTGATTGTAATCATTGGAAGTTTTCAGGTAAACCAAACCCATAAACAGGGCAAAGAGCTGTAAAGGTAAATATAATCATTTACCTTAGTTTCTAAGGTAAGTCATACATATTAACAAAGATCTCTAAAAATTGGTGTTTTCAACATGACCAAAGTTATAATTTTAAATAAAATGAACAACTTTATCAGTAAACAGAATCCATTAGCTGAAGTTTTCAGGTAAAAGTAAGCCATTGAACAGGAATATGACTGTTTTGGTTAAAATATCCTATAGCCAATCAAAGTTAAAGATTATAAGAATTTCGGAAAACATTGGTTATTAGTAAATTTGGAAGAAGTCTTCCCATTCTTCAAATTTTTATTCTTAGTGAAATAAAAATAAATTCATTTACAGATTTGAAATGTCTCGATTTCATTGCTGCTTTTCAAAACTTACTATTGTTTGAATGAACTTTATTTTGACCAACATGGGCTCTCGTATATTTGTTATCCAACTTCTCCACATGACACATGAAAGTTGCTGAAAGTATGAAGGTCCACTGCTGCAAAATTCAAAAGAAAGTTAAACTGATATTCGTACCTTTGCTAATATATGATGTAATTTCTAGGAAATTCAAAAGGAATTATATCTCTGAATCATTTATTTTATCCCTAATTTTGCGTGCGTTTTTCTTTAAAACCAATTGATTTCAGTTCTTTTCAATCTTTTACAGAAGAAAATTAAAAGCAAATAGAAATTGACGTACAATGTATCATATTTTGAAAAAAGAGCTTGAAAGCCGTAAATAACTGTTATGATAATCGATTCACTAATCTCAAGAATACCTTGATATGGAATGTAAAGATTCTTCAAGCTGTAAAAAAAGAAAAACAGTGTTAATACTTAATTTGTTAGATTGATTACAATAAAAATATATAAATATAAGAAATTAATTTATGTTTCTACAAATAAACATTTATTTATTCTACTGAATTGTATATAACCACCCCTTACCAATTTTTGTGACATTCTTCGCTCGTATGGATCCATTGTGACATCAAAATGATCTATTCTCTTAGAGGCCGAGCTACTGTCATAGAACTCACACAATTTCTGTAAAGCAAGGAATTAAAACGTTTTTGAATATTACTACTTAGTATATAGAATCTCTTATATTTGTTTACTTTATAATTGTTATTTTTGTTTATCATTAAGGAGGCTTTGGGTCAACAAATTAACAATCAGATATAACATCATTTTTAAGATATGATATATTTAGCTGTCAACTATCATTTAGCAAAGAAAAAATGCATAGTTTTGAAAGATAATTTTTGTATATCTTTATATGGAGCTCTTTCTCTCTCTCTCTCTCTCTTTTTTTTTATATAGTTTTTATATTTTAATTGGATATTTTACTTGAAAAAGACGTTAATGGTAATCTGACAACCAAGCTCTATGATAAACATGATGACTTTAACTTTTCTATCGTCAACTTCCCTTACGTATGCTGCAATATACCTTCATCGCCTGCATACGGCGTTCATATATCTCAGTTGATTCGATACGCAAGAACATGTTCTACGTATGAACAATTTCTAAAACGAGATAAAGTATTGACAAACAAGTTGATGAAACAAGAATATCAGCAGTCTCGTTTAAAGTCATCATTTCGTAAGTTCTGTGCTTGATACAATGATAAAGTCAGCAAATACAGTTTATCATTGAATCAAATGCTGACTGACGTTTTTCATATTAATTTTTAGTCCATTATTTATTCACTGAATGGACGACGGATTTTCCCGTTATTTCCCGATCATGACAAGGAGCACACGGTGGTGTGACCGGTCAGCAAGGGATGCTAACTCCTCCATGACACCTGATCCCACCTCTGATGTTTTACAGGTCCGTGTTTGCTTTGTTTCTATTTTGCATTGTTTTATGGACTTTGATATTGAATACTGTTGGTTATCTCCTTATCCTTCATAGATCAATATAGCCTAAAAATGGCCAATACCACATAGCCTTCTTAAATACATCAAAATATGCTAAGGCTTAACGTTTTAAAAATCCATAAATGAACTGTATATTAAACCATAACTTGACCTATAGTTTGTATTACCTCTACACGCCCTTTACATTCTGTTTCGTATCCCGGAACTATGGCGAGAGTAAGAATAAAATGATTGACAGGATTGTAGTTTACCGGACAGGGATGACCAACACTATTAAAAAAGGACAGAGTTAACACACAATAGAATAGGTGAGCAAATGTGCAGTCTTACAGATGAAAGGTAATCACTATTATAATAAATTATTAGAAAGTATAAAAAAGTTACATTAAATATTACCTGTATCTTTTAAATGAATATTTCATCGCAAGATATAAAGCGAACACTTTGTGTCCACATTGTTCCAATATTGAAAAAAAATAATAAATTCCAACCTTTTGAAAAAGTCAATAGCATGTGATACTGGCCCCGAAAATGCTATCTTCCCTTCCGCCATTAAAATGATTCTGTAAAAATGATAAGAAGAAATAAATACTCAGAGAAAGTTAACGATTCTGGTAATGTATCTCAAGAAAAGCAAATATGAATACATAAGTTTAATATTCGACAGAGACCATGATCAAAATATATATTCAAAACAATATTTTCACCCGACTTAATTTATACTCAGTAGATGTATTTTATTCTTTATGAATAAAGTTAACTATAGTTAACTTGAGTAAGCTTTAATTATTGAAAGTTATTTTTGTATAGGGTTTATCAATAGAAAACTAGAGAGATTTGTATAGATAAATTTCAATAATTGAAATGTATAATTTAAAGTAATACCTAAACTACATTATTCTATAACTTTCAATAATTTTTTCCAGAGATATTCAATTTTAATATCCTTTCTAGAAAAATATAAAACTGGAACCTTACATGAAATAAATTCTTACTAGAAAATATCAGAGAAAGGCTCGAAATCAGAGGTTAACTTAAACTATATCAAAACCTGATTTTTGAAAAAATAGTCTTGACTATTCAATCAATGCTTCTTTTCCCTTTTTAATTAGGATTTAATTTAAACAAATACTAAGATAGGATATAGACAGACAGGACAGGTGAAAGCTTTTAAGAATGATAAACTGATTTTACTTTAACCAAATAATTAAGTTATCTTAAGTAACCTTTGTCAGGAGAGTTCGGGGTTTTAGTTTAAGACGCAATTTATTTTTTAAAAAATATTGAGACCTGACGTTAAAAAAGATCCCAATTACATGTACCATGTATCAATCTTCTTTAAATGTTATTTATTTTTATGAACCTTGAAAGCATCCCTATGGTTATTCATGAATCATAAATCAGCAAAATTATGCAATTTACTAGATAACTTTTTCCAAATGACGTCAGGGATCACGTAGACTGATGGAGAAAATGTAGAAGAAAAAAGCAACTCACTCGTCAAACAATTCGAACACTTCTGAGGAGGGTTGATGTACAGTACACATAATGGTGTGTCCTGTGTGAACCATGGTCTTCAGTGATTGTATAACGCTTTGGGCCATGAACGAATCCAGACCAGAAGTGACCTCATCACAGAACATCAATGGAGGATTTGTAAGCAACTGAAATTGTAGTTTATATGTATTTATAAGGTCATCTCATGAGTACATACACTGTATTACTGAGTTTCAAATCTTCAATTTCTAAGGCCAAATTTTTATATCTTTAAGTTAGTCAGGATCATGTTTTGACGTCTTTAATTTGTGCAATATAGTAATTTCATTTTGAAGAAAAGATGAAATTTTTTGTACCTCAGAGGCAAACGAAAGTCGTCTTAATTCTCCTCCCGAAATTCCCTTCTTTTTTCCTGGGATTCCAATCATTGTGTCTGCGCATTTAGTCAGTCCAAGCTACAAAAGATAAAGACATTTGTAATAAATATATTATCTTATAGTAATATTTCATATACATGTATAGTCTAATCTTAAATTCATTAGTGACTGTTGCATTGGGTTGATCAAACTGCGAAACAGAGCCTATCGTTCTGCTAGATTTATCCACCCAAAAATTTAATATCTATAATATAGTCTGAATGTCTTGCTAAGAGAGAAAAACAAATATATTTATCCATTCAATACATTATTTAGATATATACCTGTTGTATAACTTCCTCCACTCTCTGAAGTTTTTCCGCTTTTGGCGTTCGTCCGTCCATTTTTAAAATTGCCTGTAAGATCGGATGAACATTGAAAATATGTCAAACGTTACTCAAAATTTACGAGTTGAAGTATTCCGTATTTGCGAATCTGTACTGAAGTTACATTTCTATAATATTGAAAGATTTCTATAATATTGAAAGATTGTCCTTAAATTGTTAATGTGCAAATTTCAAATGTATTAATAGAGAGGTTCTCCAAATTAAATTTCTGCCAGAATCACAATGTATGTTTTAATTTTCATTATTTTCATATAAGACCGATAATCAGATGTAATTTTTCTGATTACTTAAACATGTTCCAACCATAAAATCAAAATCCCAAAAGCAAATATTTTCCCCTCAAACCTCGAAAGTTTGACTCCACGAAAATGTCTGAATTTACAACGAACCTCTTGTACATTTCTTGACTCACCCTGAAAACCAGATGTTCCCTAACTGTCATTGTTCCAATGAAAACGTCATCCTGCTGAACGTAGGCGGAGAGATTCGCCATTTTGTCTTTCTCCATTGTTACTCCATTGACCTTTATATCTCCCTGGATAACAAGTGACCCTCTGTTTCTGAAGGTCAACATATTCATCAAGGTCGACTTTCCGGCTCCACTAAATAGGAGATTGAAAAGGTATCTTCAATGGTATTGATATTTACAGAGTATATTTAAGTTATTTTACGTTATTTTATTCTTTTCAAGACAGAGACACTCTTGACATTTTTATAAAAATAATCTCGTTAGATTTAGACAAAATGGAATCATTTTTAAATCGACACATAAACTCAGGGCAAAGAGACAGCTTGACCACAAATTCAACTTTTCAATAAATATTGGCCTTTATTATTTATATTTCGAAATTCTCAAAATTATAATAACCAGCAAGATAGTTTCATCTATAGATAAAAAAGATGAAGTTAACGAAAAGTGATGGATCTAAAAGATAATTCAAAAACTGTTCAAATCTGTGAAGAGGGCAAAACATTGATCCCTGGAAATTTTAGGGTGAGATCATGTGCCTTGGAGGAAGAAACATTCCCTGTTGACTGGTTTCGCCCGTCATGAGCCCTATGTATTGGTTGGGTGGACGCAACATTCCGAAGTAAACTCATTATAAAAACAAAATATACAAAAGTGAAAGTCACCTTGCTCCCATGACGGCTGTGAGCCTTCCAGGTTTAATTACACCACTCACTGAAATGAAAAGGGTAAAACAATAAACATCATCTTTGTGGCCTAATAAAAGGTCTATAAAATTTTCAATCGGTAAGTCTGAAAAAAGTACTATATATCACTTATATCACTACCAGGAATTCTTTAATGATTAGACAAAAGAACTTGAAAATAAAGTGGCATTCATAACTCATAATAACTATTTATTGGAGATAAATACAAATATTCTCTTTGATTTGGATATGTTTCAAAACTGTCGTAAAGGATTAGGAAAATAACTATTTTTCTGGACATCTCTTCTAAATCAATGACCTTTGCTTAAAAATACTTTCAATACTTCAAATATTTTGTCGTTTAATATGTTTTATTCGCTTTAAAAAGATTGTCAATGAATAATAAAATATAGGTCAAGGGTAACTATCAGGCTGTACTAAAACTTAATCATATGCGGCCAATAAAAATGGAGTAAAAAAGGCCTAATCAGTTCAAAGTTTACGAAAAAGTCTGCGTGATCTTCTTTTATCTTTTATTGAGATTGAGGGTAATGAACCTTAATGATTTATAATTTTAAAAAGAAAGGTATAATCTTTTGCTGAGTCATAGAACAATGGCGTCCTATTATTAAGATCAATTTGTTTTGTGCTGAGTGGGGAAGTTGAAGATTGATTGGAAAATTTGACAAAGCATGTCATAGGTGAGGCAATTAATTTTTCTGATTAATTGTTAATGTATATAATGTATATAACATTGCTAAGACTGACGTAAAATTGAAGAAATGCTTATTTTGACATTGAAAAGTGCATATTTGATACAAAAATAGAAACACTCCGTCATTACTTTTTTAAATGACCCACACAGGCTAAATAGATCCCAGGAAGTATATTGTAAAGCAAATTATGGGGAATTTTTCTTGGAAAATTTAGAGACCGAAATGAAAGGGGGTAATTTGTTAAAAAATCTTAACTACACCCCACCCACCCTCCAATTTAATAAAAAATGGAAGAGAAAAAAATAATAAACATATTATTTTATTTGTCTGTGTTAACATGATAAGTTTTATTTCATTACTTTGAAAAGTTTGCAAACATCAGACGTTGTGTTATGTATAAAGAAGATTTTCTCTATTTCAACTTTTTTTTATTCAGCAAAACATTTTTAAAAAATAACAAAAGGCCTACCATTGGTTAAAATTTGTTTGGGAGGTTCGTCTTCTTTATTTAGAAAGCAAAAGAGGTTCCTTTTCGGCAAGGAAAATACGCTGCAATCCTTCCAGGACAAAGTGACTGGGTACACCTGACTACAATAGTTCTCTTCATAGTCTTTTTGGGGGAAGCCAAGTTCAGGATCTGTAGAATTTTAAAAAAAAATGTCAAAAAGCATAAAATATAACTCAGTATTTGAATTTCTCAATACCCTATATTGTTTTATTATACCTCTACTGTAATTACTCTATATAAAATTAATACCATAAAACTGTCTATTTCCCCGAAAAGAGACTACTGCCCTCAACTTAAGACTACTCCCTGGAAAATCAGAGCTACTCCCTGAGACTACTCCCTCATGAATATTTATTAGTAATTTTAACCAACCAAAGTGTTCATTAGGCGGAGTGTTCAAGGAATCTCGAGTCTGTGACGTCATGTTATTAGCAATGTAACTATGACGTCAAAACATTTCGACATGCGATATCAAAATCATATTAATTTGAATTCTAGCAAAATGAAGACAACGATAATTCTTCGAAATGTCAGTGAAAATCCTTCTCAAAAATAATTTAACTGTTTAAGGACACGATACATTACTTATTATACAATGTGGTAAACCGCATGCATTTGTAATTATGCCTTTACAGTGTTTTTTTTTAAATGTCGGAATATCTGGTAAGAAAATTAAATCGCCTATGATTGTTTCGGTATGATAAAAACAGTTATGGAATGGGAACTCGGGAAATAGGAAATTTATGGTTCCCCTCGGCAGGAAACTATTTCCCTCGGGGAACCATAAATTTGCTATTTCCCTCTTACCCATTCCATAACTGTATAATATTTTTACTAGCGCCACTGTAGCCTCATTGTGACGTCACGTTAGCGCACGTTTCTCCGTGTTTATTTCTACGCGTGAGTATACACGAAAATGGTATTGAAATCAATTTCACAGTTGGCTTACTAGAAAAAACACAGCAAATGTAAATATTATATCATAAAAACCTTGAATGTGGAAACCATGTGCGGAATATCTAGAAATCTAATAATAATAATAATAGTAATAATAATAATCATAAATTTTCTGTGAAAAGGGTGAATTTATGAATTTGAACCATACAATGGTTTATTCGTTCAAAATTGTTCTGAAAAAAAGTTAGGTTAAGAATCTATGATATTAACTAAAAGAACTTAAAATAATCATAATCTTAAATCCAATTTTAGGACCCAGGATTAAGCCTAAATTATTAATGCTATCATAATCTCCATGCAGGAAGCTCAGCTGGGATTTATGATGTGGCTTATATTTTATAGCGGTACAGAAGTTCAAGATAATATAAAGTATCTATATCATTTGTTAGCATATATAACGTATCACTGGGTGACTTGTTTAATACAAATTGTTAACTCTTTTTTTAAAAAATGAATTGACTTCAGATAGTTCCTTCTACCTGATCAATACATATGGTTCAAGGCGTGTGTGATCAGTGAACAGAGAATACTTACTTCCTCTAGAAACCTGGTCCCAGGATCATGACTAAGACTTAAGTCTGAAGTCAGACTTAGACTTAAGTCAAATTTTTAATCGTCTGTAAAATTTTTATTAATAATTCAACGAATCTTTAATGTTGCAGATAACAATACTTTTGTAAAGCAATATTAAAAAATATTTAAATTTTTGTCTAGTTGACTTAATCCAAATTCTAGTTAACCATGAATATTTTGACGTAAACTTAAGTTGCTTCATGATCCTGGGGCCCGATACTAACTCTTGAATTTTCAGGAGCCTATGGTTTATGCTCTCCTAAAATTCTTTCTGGTGTTAATGGATAGTTTGAGATCGATCACTTTTCATTATCTTTACCTTTTGCATTTCCTCTTATATTTGCAACTGATTTTATCACGTACAGACTGTTTTAACCTTTCAAAAATCGGCGATAAAAATATCAAAGAAATGACTCAATTTGCTTATTAAATTCTTTTCTTTGAACTATAGGTTTGAAGTTGATTGATAAAAAATAAAAACAAGATAATATCAAACCCATCACGCTGTTCACCGCTTTTGTTTTTTCTATTGATGTGACATTTCAGTCATGTAATTTTAAAATAAATCGTCAAATTATATTTTACAAAAAGTGCTGCTTTCAAATTTCTGTTCAGCTACATATATGTTTTAAATTCAAGTCAATATATGTCAGCTGTGCTGTACAAGTGTCATCAGTATTTAAGGTCTTGTAGAAGGATCTTTAGGCTTATTTTTATACAACATACTTTATAAAAGAAGTAAAATTTGTTTAACAATTATTATTGAATATACATGAAAATATATATATTTGAAAAATCACTAATACTAGTAATAGATTATTTCTGTATGTTTTTTTTAAGTTTTCTTAATGTTAATTTATATGTTGCATTGCTTATCATTTTAAATAAATTATTTTTTCAAATGATACAATTATATACCGCTTTAAAAGATTTTAAAAAAGGATCCATATTTCAAATCAAATTTCACTTTGAAAATAAAACTTCCAGATGTGTTTCAAATATCAAGTTACCATTAATTAAATTTCGTTGTTTTACTGAGATCGGAAAGGTAAATTTAGATAAAAAAAGCTGAAGAAAGAAATTTCAAAGATGAATAAATAAAATGTTAATTTCGGTATTTGGTTACATTGATCACTCATGCAAAGTGGCAGAATATCAAAATGATGGATTTTAAAGTTATTTTTATAGGAACATGAAAAATAGCTTGAAATTAGACACTTTTACTTGGGTACTGCACAAAAATAATGACGAAATCTAAATACCTAGATAACTGTCTAACATCTCTTCTGCAACAATATAATACATGTAAGTCACACTACAGATACTTTTATATAGAAAGCAACATAACCTTTATTGTTTGTTTTCTGTCTCTGATTGAAGACAAATTTGTCATGTTCACCTGAATGAGTTTCAGTGTAGTTAGCTCAATCATACTCTATTATAATGTGTGGCCATGATGTCAATCTCAAAATGATGTCATCGTTGTTGTTCTAAATTCAATGTATGTACGTATTGTAGTGATTTCTTTAATAAAAGCAAATATTACGTAGATAAAATCTTTTATCATCTATTGTTAACTTCAGAGATTCATCTCTGTTTTTTTTTGTCATAAAACCGTACTAACATTGTAGAGTAATCACAATGTAATATACATTCATATCGTGACTTTTCAAAACAAAATTAAGATATGATTTTCCATAAAATCAAAATCCTACAAAACGTTTTACATTTGGGTTTCCTCCTAAAACAAAACAATATATATAAATGTCTAAATAGGAATCATTTGAACTCTTTTCTTTCTTCATATTTTACAATTAATTTTAAAATATATAATATCTAGATCAAAAGGAATGTGTCTTAGAAACAATTTTAATATACTCCTTTCATTCTTTTTTCTAGAAATATCAAACTCTGCAAGCAATGCATTAAAAATGCGTTTTTAATTTTGTTTAGGTCCATAGCTTGGTGATTTAAGGTAGTTCTCAAGTGAAATAAGTAAATGAAAATGATGCATCTTTTGTGCAACATTTAATCATTCTATCCTGACTTGATGCACCCACTTAAAACAAGCTGTATAGCTTGAAGCACTTCCATTGTGCATTTTCATGACACACTGAGATGAAAGAGCTAATGTACATTGTAAACCAATGACTATGGTGCTATTTTCCACTTTCAAATACGGTAATAGGCCAATGGCCCACTTGTTATGTATATATTAGATAGAAGCTTCTACTTTTATTCGCGAAAAATCCCCATCAACATGCTTAAACCGTTAGCACTATGGACTTTCGTTCGCAGCCTTATATTACAATTAATAGAACAATTCATTATGCCAGCCAGCCATTATCTTCTAACTGAATTATCTACGGATCGATGAGAGTTTGCGAAACAATAAGTTAAAATATTCCAAGCAAATGTTTTTTTCAACTTAAACCCTTAGTAAACGTCACCCCTAAGTTTGTTCTTGACAAGGATTTTAATTATATACATACGTATATATAGCTATAAACTTTTATTCTTTTTTTCTGTTGTTCAAACTTAGTTTTTACTTATATTATTACTAAGCTTTTGCATAAATGTTTATACACTGTAATCAATATATTCTTCCATGTATATTACCCGTCCTTAAATTCCTAGCTGGTTCATGTAAGCATTTAAATACGGTAGTAAGCAAAGTGAAGTAATCTTAAAAAAATAATGTATTTAAAAAAATATGTTTTAAAAATACATGAAAGTATTGAAGTAATCACAAAATCACGAGCTACCGATATCGAAAAAAAAAAGAATTTCCTAAAAAAACTCGATATAGCTATTTTAATGTAGAAATGTAACTAAAAGTTAACAAATTTCTTGTATTTTACTTCTCACTATTCAGTTCTTCTTTTAAAATGAAAAAAAATAATATAGAATACTTTTAAGACACACTATACATTAGATTTCTGCTCCTTAATATTGCACATTCTTTCTTTTAAATCAAAATATATTAATCAATGATACCAAATAAATAACATGAATAAAAACAACTAACCTATGTTAGTGTAATATATTGGTTTTCCACAATCCATTTGCGATGACAATTTATAAAATCTAAGAATTATCAATTTTGGGTGTTCTTATCGTATATCAATAAATAGCATTAAGGAGAAGTTATCAATTTTTTCCAATTTATATCACCTTTGTTGGAATCACATGTTCAAAATTATCAGAAAGCCTCTACGCACAGGTAGTGATGCGTATAGCCATAGGAAGTGGAATAATTTATAGAGATGAACTGATTCAACAAGAAGTTTGTGTTCATATACAATACATTTATTCTAAACAATAGCAATTATCAAGTACATATATTCAAATGTTTATTAACCTTATAATGTTATGAATAAAATGTGACCTTATAATGTGAAGAGGAATAGATAGATAAGTTAAATAAGAACAAAGTATTAAGATCTGTGTTTTAAAATTTGTGTTTTTATGCCCCCCACCATCGAAGGTTCGGGGCTAAAAAACATTTGCCTTGTCCGTCTGTTTGTCTGTCTCTTTATCTTTTTGCATGTTTGTCTACAAAAACTTTAACATTTCCAATAACTTTTGATTGGTAGGAGATATGGATCTCATATTTTAAATGACTTTTCCTGTTGACTAGAGCTTTCATTGGGTACCAATATTTTTGACTTCTTGACCTTGACCATGGAGATGACACAATTTTGAAAGCATTTACCCACTTTTTAATTGTCTATAGCTTTTGTACAGTTGGTGCTGGAAATTTCATTTATATGTTGTCCTACTTTTGAGAAAAAGCTTTAACGTTGGCCATAACGTTTTAACAGATGTTACTGTGACTTCAATATTTCACTTTTGCATTTCTTCAGATAAGGCCTTTCTTGGTACTTTATATTTGACCCTTTCACCTTGACATTAGAATTGATCTACATTTAAACAATCGTAATGATGAAAACTTTGGGTTTCATATTCCATAAGTATATTCATTGAGACAGGTCGTTTCATTGGGTAATAACTTGTTTTCCTTGACCTTGACGTTTGACCTATATTTGAGAAACATTTGTCAACAGCCGTCATTTGGGGCATCAATATTTCACAAACACATTTTGTTTTAAATTTGAAAACATTTTCAGATGTGACAAAAGAACGATATGTTTAAATAAAATAAATCCGATTTACCTGTAATATTTAAAAAGCTTTTATGTACATTTAATTCACTTCAAATTTAATAATCACACTTTAATTGTTCTACACTTTCTGGAACAGCCTTAGTTAATACTTAATCAGTATATGTAGCAAATCGTATTGATCATAATAGATCAACATGCTTTAATTTATTTAATACCTGATTTACATATATTTGAATAGATTTGCACTATAAATAAAATTCAGGAACCTTCCGGATATCCGAAAAGAAAAGATTTTTTGTTAGTGTTTCTTTTCTCATAAATAAAGTGCAATGTATTGTTTTTTTATATATATAAATCTCATCACGGAAATCCCCATTTGTTTGACCTTTTATTGCAGTTTTCTTGTTTAAAACTGGAAAAAAACTTCTATTCACGAATATCGGACATAATTAAACATAGTTTAGACAAAGTTAATATTGTTTATCCATTAAATGCATTGTTTTCATGCAAAAAAATATTCATCAAATTTATTGAATACAAAGACTCGTACTTTATATTCTTCTTTTATTTTAACTATATTTTAGATATTTCTTTCCTTTTAAAATCTTTTACTTATTCATGATTTGATGAATGATGTTGATTCAGTTAAATTGAATAGAGTGACATTTAGAAAGGTTAATCAACCTAATTAATAATTTCTGGGAGTCTATTTTTAATGTTATAATTTCGTCGTAATCGTTTGGATGTTCTAGTATGTAATAAAAAGTGTCCTTTCACAGTCACTTAAGTCCATTGCTATTTCATCTCATATTTTAACATCATTTCATTTTTTAGATACTGACTCACTATGCATTTTGTTTAGTATAGAAATTTTTTTTTAAAAGATGAGTCAATTACCAACAAAAGAAATCAATATCAGAATGTTTATATTTATAAAATGTGTGCATGTTAAAAAATACCACAAAATGACTGTTAGATCTTTATTATCCTGCAATATGATCTTCAACATATTTGTCATAAATTGTCTGTAACATGTATTTTTCATGATATAATTTTCTTGAAACGTACATTTTCAATACATTTGAAACATCAAATTGTACGAGGGGGTATCAAAAAGTTCGTGGACTAGCGACATAAATTAAAACCGCTTTAGGTACATCAATGAATTTTAAAATGTCTAATTTTCATCATCTCTTCTATCTATAGAATAAACCACAAAACGTAAATTTTATTTTTTTAAATAAATAAGTAATTTTTTGTATTATTTCCAGGCGGCATCCTCGAACATATTTTTTTTCAACATCATTTCTTTTTGAATATTTGACACCCAGAAATCCCGTTAAATCTATGTACACTATTTTTTTAATTTTTATATTTTGAAATTTTTTTTTTACATGATGTTTAAACAAAAAAGGCCTTGATCAACAATAGAAATCAATATCAGAATGTTGATATTAATAAAATGTATACATGTTAAAAAATACCACAGAAAGATTGTTAGATCTTTAATATTCTGCAGTATGATCTTCACTGTTTTGTCAAAAATTGTTTGTAACATGAAAAAAAAAATTCTGTGTTTCTTTTAATGTCATTTTTATTTTGTAATGAAATCTATTAAACATTTCCATTTCTTTATTTTTTGTTGTTTTATGTTCCTTATAAATTTTGAAAGCACAGACTACATCGTACTAATTAATTTTATAACCTCAGTCCACGAACTTTTTGATAACCCCTCGTATATTATAACCTTTTTCATCTACATGAATATAATTGAACATATGATAAAATAAAATTTTCGAAATCAGGTTGATATGTTTCCCCCTTGCAAAATTATTTTTTTTCTATTTTAAAGTCATTTTAACTGCCATAGAATTTTCGAATTTCTATATTTAAATAAGATTAACAAAATCTCTGTATTATCTATTTTTATGTGAGTAGTCTGTCTAGGATTAATAACTGATTTTACTCACAGCATGTTTTTGTGAATCGATTAAATTTGGAGATAAAAACACCAAATGCAGTTGATTGCGAATTATTACTATATACATATAAATAAGAAAAGTTGACGATGACAGTTTTATTTTAATTTTGACATGGAATACACAATTGATGTACAATTCAATAGCAAATGCACGATAACTTCTCCCCAGTATCTGATACCATCTCTGATTTCAGAGTTAAAATTCCGTATTGACTGACTAATTAGTATTTTATGATGATCACTGATCATCTTCACGTTTTTGTTTGTAGGTAATATATTGAATCCTAAAAGGATCTGTTGTATATATTGTCGCAAACATCTCTAAAATTATAAAAAGTTTAAAACAAATTTTGTCCTTGTAGGATTTATATATACATCTTAATTCGATATGTTCAAGTATATTTGCAAAAAACATGACTTTATTGATGCCATTCATGCAAAGTGTTTTTCCCTTTGGTTATTGGGCTATTGTAATGTTTACTGAGTCACAACTTGATTGATTGCTTAATGAACGTGCTTCAGATCCCATTGTAGAATTTACGCATGCAGATATCTCACCTTATTCAGGTACATGTAGGTGAAGAGCCAGAAGGTTCACCTTTGCCTGGCGTTTAAGATTCTAGTATTTAAGATTAATTTTAAAAAATGCTCGGAATATTATACCTGGAAGACCCGTGACATTCAACTCTAACACAGGGCGAAGTAATAGTACCACATACTTTAATTTTTACGTCTTGGGGGAGAGACTTCAAATTTGACATCATCCCAATTGCAAAGCGAGGAACCGGTCACTAATTTGAATACTTGGCATAAAAGGTAGATTGAAGTTATAAGGACTGAAAAAAAAATTATAAAGTAAATTTAAACAGTTTTTTTTTCAAAGAATCTTCAGAATACAATCATGATAATAATTCCTAATTTTCTTGGTAATGTTTGGGTTAACAGAAGCGGTAAGCATGAATCTAAAGTGGTCTATGCGGTAAGAAGCATATATCCATGTTTCTTTTCAAAAAAATGAAATGAACGTTAGTCTAGTCCAAGTTACAAACCAAGACAAAATGAATTAGGTAATCAAACAAAGTATGTTAATCACTTTTGACTATAAATGTGTGAAACGAAAGCCAAGTTAATTAACCAACCTAATATTTAAATAAAGTAAAGAAACTGGGGATTGTAAATGAAATCTTTGCTGCGATTTATAAAATGGATGGCTCAACTGACAACACTTTTTAATGTCAACACAATAAAAACAATTTTGTGGGTTTGTCAAGGTCTGATATAGGGAACAAAAAAGTCATCTCACAAAATATAAACAGGGCCAAGAAGAGAAAAAAAGTAAAATAACGCAGTAGTTATAATTTTGCTCTGAAGGACTAAGAAGTTTCAATGTCATTATGCTTACATATATATCTAAATACGCTAGTTGCAAATATTAAGTTTTATCACGAAAAGATGTTTTTTTTAGGGCAAAACAGTAATGATTTCCTTGATCTCGTTGAAGCAGACCCTTATTGTCTTCAATGCTAATCTTATCAGATTCTAAATGAGACATACGTCTGCGATGATAGCGAAAAAGGATGGATGTATGGTTATTTTGACATTCAATCTAATAATGCAAATATTTACTTACATGTATATGGACCAAACCTTTAATTCATTCTTGCGTTAAACAGCTTGCGCTAATTTGAAACCTCAAAAGATGAAATCTGCTGTAAATGCTAATATAAATCGTATAATGAATGCTTCCATTATTTAAAACCAAGACCAGGTATAAAGTTTGTTGAATAATCAAAATGTAACATTTAAAAATTGATTACAGAATTTGGGCTTGATTGTTCTCTTTTAACAACTAGTTTATATAACACAAACCAATCATTTGGTGGATGTTTCAAATTATTTCGTAACTTGCACATTTCCAATCTATTAGTCTTTTTGATGTTTTTTAATTAATAAAGCATTGAACAAAAGTTATGTTTGTGTTCATGAGGTAAATCTATATTGTTTATCATGCAATTTTTTAAATATTTGTATTCCACATGTAATTTACTTGTAAACCGTGTGAAAAACTACGACATTCAAATAATTAAAAATGGATTTTGAGTTCAAAAGAATATAATTTTTTATATAAACGTTGAAAACCCTAAATATATTAAAATAAACCGTTAGAGATCAATTTAACAAAGCATAAAAACTTAACCTTTTAACGCGAAGAAAAATAACGTCATGTTTCTGCGTACTACGTTCTTTTCAGAGAGTGGTGATATGGATTAGAAAACAACATGTTGGTGATCCGGATAAACTACATGAATAAGGAACCTTGAAGTGATAGCATAAATTCAATGCAGTAAAATTGAGTGATACACTTTAGGTATATAATAAAGCATTGAAACAAATGAAATCATCTCGTTTGTATACCATTTATATGTTTATTATGCAATTTTATTTGTATTCCACGTAAAACATCCAAATATGTAACAATGTGTTGACATTAAATCATCACTTGTACATTTGTGTAAATCAAAAGATTAAGAATCTTTTTTTTTTAAAATAAACTTTGAACGCCCTAAAGTTGCAACGTAATAAAGGAAAATAAATTTTCCTACAAATTTTGATGCTTTTCTAAAAAATGAAGCGACTGTTTAAAATCGCTACTCCTTTCTAGTTATAAATTCAATGGAAAAATCATACAAATCATTTTTGTCACGTGTGTTTGTAAATATAAATGTGACCATATGCAGGTGATTTTGGGATTTTTCTACAAATGTTGCAAATACACAACGTTTCAATGGGACAAATAAAATCCACAGGCATCGCCAACAAGATTTCATGTGTTTATTAGGCATTTTTCATCAAAATAGTCAAAAAATCAAATATGAAACAGATTTTCTAAAGGAAAATCACCCTTGAAATAGTTTTGAGGCTTTTTCTGTTAAAAATATGACAGTTGTGTAAATCGTCATATTTGGAATGGTGAACCTTCATGCCATATTCTTTCCTGATTTATTACAGTCATTTATTTAATTAATATTTAAGCCAGTTTCAAAACTTTTTGATGTCCTTACATTTTTAGGGCGTAATAAAGTTAAAACCATACCTTCTTCTTTATGTCCACCACGAAATTCAATTTTTCAAATATATTGCTACTGAACTATTCTTCAGCCACTAAATCAAATCCCTGTGAACCGATAAATTTTCTTCAAACCATGAAAATCTGACCCCTCGAAAATATGTGATTTTACAGTAATTGATAATGCATCGTCGATATATCTATATGTCGAGTTGAAGGCCACAGCAAGTGTTTTCTCTTCTCATGTATACGTTTTTTAAATAAAGTCTCTTTCATTAGAATATAAAAACAAATCAGTTAATTAGTTAAGGTGCGCGATTAGTCTTTGTAATGCCTTAGAGTAACGTTTGCTAAAAACCAATCATAAGTCTTAGAACACGTAGGACTTATAAAAAAATCTGCTTTTATTGAAGAACAAGACTAGTTATATTTAGAATACACAATAAAACTCTAACTTTAATTTATCTTTTTTATATGTGTTTGGATGCGAGCGGGATTTTATAAACTCCAAAATAAAGATTAAATGATTTCTATTAAAGCTCTGACCAATGGATAGCTATTTTACGTCAACTTCGTAGATATTCTTTCTCTACATAAGAAAAAATATGAACAATGTTACACCTGCTTTGTTAAAAATAGTATTTCTATACCTTATCATTCAGTACGTTTAGTAGTTAGAAATTAAGTTTATACGCTCAGTCCCTTGGCTTTACATGGTCAGTGAAGCATGGCTGGATGGATTATCTTCGTGGCTAAACCAGTGCAAAGATGTACATGAAAACAAACAAAACCTAAAAAAGAAACATATCTAGAACGCTGTAGATCCTTCTAGAACCTTGAAAGTTACATAAAAAGTTGAAAAACATAACATTTAGCTCAATTTGTGTCGATGTGAACAGTAGCATTTCCTTTATAGTAAAAACAAAAAAGGATTTGATTAATCCACAATATTGAATTTGACCCAAAGTCTGTATTTTGTGAATTTAAAAAGTGGTCGTTTGAATTTCAGTGAATACTTTGCTGGGGATTCATTTATTGTTTTTGACTATGATTTAAAAAAGCTAGTGCAAGCTGCTTCATTTTCACTGAAGAGTAAAAAAAAACACTTTGAATGGCAAAGTACAACTGCGATCTGGATTTTAAAAAATTCAATAAAGGACGAATTCAAGAGAGCTACGTAATAGAGTGAACGTGTGAAAACCAATGACGTGATCACCAAAGAATTCAACACACAACCTTCATGTAGAAGAAACAGGCTAACAAGTTGCTGCAGGAAAGTCAGTAAATTTTGAAATTGAGAGCACATTTGTTTTTTATTATGAAAATTAAGATAATCTACTGATTAGAAATATCATTGTCATTGTATCGATCATAGAACTTACAAAATGATGATCTTAAACGAGACTGCTGAAATTTTTGTTTCATGAAGTTGTCTGTAAACAATTTACCTCCTTTTAAAATTCGTCATACGTAGAGCATGCTCTTGTGTATCGAATCAACAGAGATACATAAACTCCGTATACAGGTGATGAAGGTATATTGATGCATATGTAAGGGAAGTTGACGATAGAAAAGTTAAAGTCATCAAGCTTATTATAGAGCTTCATTAACGTCTTTTTCAAGCAAAATATCCAAATCTCACCAAAAGCTTACAAGTATAAAATGAAATTTATGGAGATAATGAAAGTATTCAAGTTCAAAAGTCAATTAAACAATACAAATTTGGAGCAGAGCAAACAAGGACCTCCAAAACATCAGAGGTGATATCAGGTGCCATGGAGGAGTGGGCATCTCCTGCCGACCGGTCACACCTAGGGCTGTGTATTGAGCCAAAAATTTCGATACGATACGATACAATATTTTTTAAAGCGATATGCGATATATTGGATTCTGAAACAAGTCCATCAGAAAAGGCTTCTAAATCATTTTATTGCATACATTTCATAACAATTAAGTGTTTTATTACCCATTTTAAAGTACTTGTCTCATTGTCTTAAAATAACACTTCAATTAAAACTTTTGATGACAGTAAAATCAACATGTTCAAAAATTTTTTTCTATGTATTTTGTAATAATTATAAAAACTTTTTTATTTCCTTAGAAATTATATAATTATTGAAGGTTTTAATTCAAAAAAGTAAAATATAATCTTTGGTGATTGAAATTCCCATCTTTTAAACAGAATTTGAAGAAAAAATGTCTGTCCGATACGTATTGGAAGTTACTTTTCGATACGATATTTTTCTTGAGCTCACTGTGATTGAGAGGATAAGAAATATTTAAAGCTGACATATGCTTTTGAAGAATTTCCTCTTTAGAAAGGGAGCCATGGGTAAGTTAAATTAGCACTATAGTAGAATTAAATCCCATTTCTTCTAAAATACAATTTAATTCAATAATGATCTTTACAAAGACATTGTTATTAGCTGCTTTATCAGAACATACAGAAAAATTTTTTTATCAACTTGGAAAATCCTGTTGCAACAGGAAATACCGAGCCCCGAAGCAATTTATCCAGAGGATATTCTTATTTCAACTAAAAATAGTAATAGCTAGAGTTACTTATCCGAAACATATGCAATCTTTTTTTTTCTGTAAATTTCGATATTTGTTTCATTACTCTATCCCAATTATCCTCATATCATTCTTTACAGTCTACAATCAATCCTCCTGCTTATTCTGACATGACATTTGTCCCAGGCGATGCCGTATGAGACAGGACTTACAGTATCTTTAGTTTAATCATACTGACATAATTTCGTTATGATATATTAGGTTTTTCAACAATATTCAGTATTTTTTTTTAATTTGATAATTTTTAATTTGATTAAATATCGAATCAGCAGAATCTAACAACATTGAAATTTTGGATCAAAACTTAAGAAATTTGCCTATTTCGTGATTAATAATAAGGAATTACTAGTAATTTCATAAAATGTCCAGTAAATCCACTTCACAGTGAATTACAGCCAGGCGTTATATGTTTTTCTAAAGTGCAAAGAGTTCCATTTTGTGACCACTAAGGTAAAGATAGATAATTGATGGACTTAATTAGATGCCACAACCTTTACTGCATGAGCAGAGAAAAAAGAAAGAATGTTTTGCCTCACCTGATTCACTGTTTTGTGCATACATTCAATGCACTTTCAACAATGGTTCAGTGATAACAAATTAAACCTTCTTTTGAAATGCGACTTAACTGGAAAAATCTACCACATACGTAAGGCAAAAAAGGTATATCAAAGTAACAAGATGAATAAAGCATATTTCTGTAGTTGTTTCACAGTAATTAATGTAATTGAATTAAGAATAAATACTAATATACATGTACCAGGTATATGCTTCTTTAATAATACAAGCCCCATTCTTTCAAACTGAATGGAAAATACTTTCAATAAAAATATTTCTAGTACACGCATTGAAAACTTTCCTTTCAGACTTCGTGTTTTTATTACGACTTTAAAAAAATTTGTTTTTCATTGCATATTTTATATCTTTTTGAGTTCAATTAATATTACTCTGGCAGACATGTTGTCCTTTCTTGCCGTCTTTTGCTATTAATTTTAAATTCTTCAAAACACCAAATATGAAGTAAATAGGATTTTTCTGATTTAGAGGCATATTGTTCGATATCGCATTATTGCACCATCGAGGTTTGGGTTGAGAGTGCGATTATGTAATAATGCTTTAATGATGGAGCGATGGTACAATGACGATGTAGAAACGGTGCGAAAGAGCGATGGCACTGATTCAATGGCGGAACAACACAATGACGGTGATGCGATAGCACAATGAACCAATAGTTCGATGCCACCAGGGTGCAACTGTAATGTTAAGAAAGCAAGAATTGTTCGTTGGTACGATGACGCTGAAGCAATCTTTGCTATGTATCACACCATCGTCATCGTATTGTCGCGCCATTGCATCATCATCATCATCATCATCATCATCGCACCATCGCTTTATCGTCTTTCTAGCATCGCTTCCCCGTTATCGCGCTATTGCATTATCATGTTTTAGTCGATGCTTGACGGTGCGACATTGAACTTCATAGCCTTCTCCAGATACTTTGTGAATGACGTTCCCAGTACAAAGGTACCTACCGTATTAACTGAAATTCTAGCAAGGATTTCAATTTGACATTTTTAGCAAGTGTGTCGAGATCGCTAATATCAAATATCTTAAACATTTTAACTTGCATAAAAGGTTACCGTTATCATTCTAACATGAAATAAAAATTGCGTCTTTCTAAATTAGAATTGATTTTTAAAGAAAAATCAGCATTCGATAGAAATAATTCAAAGAATATTCAACAATTACTAATAAGTTGGAAATAATTGTTTATGATATTTTATGCTAGTAAAATTGTTTTAAGTTAAGTTTCATGTATTTTATGTTAAATTGTAATTCCCCGTATTGTGCCTCATTATCTGTAAACCAATGGGGACCCCCCGGTAATTTTATCCATTTGAGATAAGAGAACTAGCATCATTATATCTACTGCTATTGTAAAGACAAGACGGCCAAACATTTGCTGAAATATTTTTTGGATTACTTGAGAATTTAAAATTCCTGTGAGAGGTAATATTATTTGACGATTTATTTTTCTGTGGACATCTCCTGTGTTGTTGTCGGTGCGGTGAAAACGAAAGTAGAAAACTCTAATGGCACCTATTCGCGTAGTGATTATAGGACATTCCTTTATTCGGCGGTTGCAGGATTTTATTGCCCGTAACACTGAGAATGACAATTTGAGACTTTATAGTCATTTATTTGATGTACAGTTTCTTAGTGAAGGAGGTTTGACTGTCGATCGCATGGCTCGCGGACCCAAATTTACGACATTCGATCCGCCTCCCCAGATAGTTTTTCTACAGATTGGAGGAAATGACCTAGATAATACCCATCTAGCTGCAGAAACCCTGGTGAGGAAAATCCAGAGTTATGTAAATTACTTGGTTCTGGGATGTGGAGTGCGGCATGTCGTTATCGGCCAAATTCTGCGGCGCAACAGGAGGGGCGATTACAACTCCCGGGTCGTCGAAGCTAATTGCTGTCTAAAGAACTGGGCCTCCTCTCTCGACAATATCACGTTTCACCATCACCATGGTTTCTGGAAGGACTTATCGTTCCTAAGTGCAGATGGTGTACACATCAGGTGTTCCCGCACCGACAGCAGCCAGATGAGGAAATACCTTCAAAGCGTAAAGAGGGCCGTCTTGCGAGCTTCTCGCTCCATTTGGTAATCATGTTCTATTTATAGGCATGTGGCAATTAATGTATTGCTTCATGCAAATCCATTTAATATAGCAGTAGATAACCATGATAACATTCACAGCATTATATTACTTGAATATGCAGCTCAATGTTGTCAGTTGAGTTTTTTATTCAAGGAATGAAAGCTGAACTTAAAACACTTTTTGCTGTTTTCGTGAATTCTAAATTAACAACATGCACTAAAAATTTTCCAATGTCTTAAAATTTTAGATAAAATTATTTTTTAAGAATATTTTTGGGAATTTTGGTACATGTATACATGTAATTCACATCTTAATTGATGCATTATAAAAAATCATAATTTTAATTTTCATTCTGATATTTGGAAACGTACGTAGACAAAATACTTGATAATATATTAACTTAGAACTCTGATTTAACAACAATTTATCATGTTGGTTTTCCAGACAAAAAAGCAACAAGTATTTGCAAAATTCAATTGAAAGAGCAACATTTTTAATCTTAATAAAAAAAATTTCATGACGGTAAACAAAATTTCAAAACAAATATTAAGATGATTGCTAGTTGTGAAATGCATGAAATGATAATTGATGTAACATAGTCATTACATCTAATTTCTTATTTGAAAACAGCTGCAAGGGTTTTGTTTCTTTTCATATAGAAGTTTTAAAAATATGAAAACATGACGGTTAGTGAAGCAGCATTAATTGGGCCCATCTGAAAATTAAAGAAAAAATAATGGTGAATTTAAATGTCACTAAAGTCATAAAATACATTTCACAGAAACTATTCCATAAAAATCCCAAGCAACAAAGTCCTCACAAACAAAAAGTCCAAGATATTTATTTTCATAGTTGATGTGCATATTGTAGGTTTTTATTTTATTCATTTGTCAACCCCTCCTCCAGTTTAGTATTTCTATCGTGAACATTGTCATTAATTTTGTTTGTAATTTGCTTTTTCGGACTGAAACAAAATAAATCAAAATAATTGATATAGTTTTGAACGTATTGTCTCGAATTGAGTCCTGTCCTCTTCACCTGCTTAACATACACCTATATATTTCTTTTTTCTATTTAAAACTCCTGAATTGGAATTTTTTTTACTTGGTTGACCCAGTTAAGTGTGGAACACGTGTGCGCCATTTGTGGTTGCCATGTCTAGTTAAGTTGACTGATGTCTTGTTAGGCAGAAATGATGAACTATTTATCATTGTGACGTGTAACAATTGACAGTTTTTTTAACATAATTTATCTCATAAAAAGCTGAAGGATTGATGGCTGTGTTCTTGTTCTATTTTAATCTTTGTTCTAGAGCATACAAGATTGTACTTTGCCCAAAACGTATATATAATAATACAATTGTTATAAAGTTTTGATTAACAATTTCTGATTTGCTCTTTTCAGTCTAATTTAAAACTACCTGTTACTTATTTAAATAACGTACTATATTACAATTAATTATAAAACTTGAATTTAAAACACAAAAAAACTTTAATAACCTTTATAGTTTAGATGTTTTTTAAAAAATGAGATAAAAAGATGTATCTCTTTAAGTTGTCCCCGAAAGGGAATTCTTGATTTGTTTTATCTTGTTTACCTCAAAATTTATGTATCAAAACAGTGGCACGTGAAGGGGTAAAGAATTTTATATTGCATGTAGAAATGTATTTAAAAATAACTTTTAAAAAGGCTTAAACACATATTGGGGTGCTCAGTCATTACCTAACATTGTGTTGGATGCACTCGTCATCAATTATATAAGATATGTAAATAAATTCAGTACTTGCATCACTCAGTTTGCTTGCACACTTCATGTTGTCTATGAAAAAGGTTAAAATTGGTCAATAAATTGAAAATGGCAAACACGTAATGATTGTTTTTAAACCTAAGCATCATATATAATCTTTACGTATTAATGGGCATGCATCGCGCACATGGGAATGATATGATACATAAAAACCATTAACTGTTGTGTGAAAAATAAAATAATTCTACCGTAAATTTTGCTGCATCATGCACAGACTTTAAATGATTTTATAACTTAAATAATTTATTATAATCTTCTCACTTTAAATCGTTCCCATATTTTCAAATTTGGCAGAAAAATAATTTGTTACTTATAGAAGATATTGGAATGTACAAATATTGCAATGATTTTTAAAAATTTAATGTCATATGAAAATATTGTATATCATATCAAAAAGGTATTTAAAAGTCACCTCATTTGTATGATAAAACTATTTAGTCGTAGATCAAAGATATAAACTAGGATAAATTAACATAACTGTTATCAAATTGAAATGATATTATCAAATGGCACTTAAATATTACACCATTTATAACGCATTGGTTTCGCCATAGCAAATGTATTTTATGCATTTTTATGGTTTGAAAAAATTGAAAAGGAAATATATAAAAAAGCAATATTTATCAGGTAATATTGGTGATCTGGCAGTTCCATATCATGATAGAGATCAACCACCCCAACATTACACAACATATGTATTGTGTGTATTGTGTGAATATTGCTATTTATAAGAGAACAATTTGTCAAATATTCATTCAATATAATGATAGCAACATGAAATTATGGGGAGGTCCAGAAAATACTGGCAACAGAAATTGCTTTTATAAAAATCCCAGAATAAAACAAAGTAATCTCCCATTACAAAACTTTGACAAAACAAAAATAAAATTTAACATAAAAAATTCTCCTCAAACTATTCAAAAATGATATTTCAATATATACAAAACAAAAAGCAAACAAACAAAAAGAAAAACATGCATCTTTAAAATCTCGTTTGGTTGACTCACTCAACCGACTGATTAAAAATGGCCAAACTTCTTTTTTTTTCACTCGAGCACACAATAATATATATATATATTTTTAGTTTTAATTCCTCATGCCAAGTCAACAAATATGTTGATTTCTGGAATAAAGATTTTTCCACCTACCTACCGACCAAATAATTTTACCTTGAGCGTGAGAGGGAAAAACAATATTTCAAAAACAGTCCAACACTTATAATGTGCTATTCATCGTGTTGGTGTGCTTAATTTCTTAAATTAAAAATAATCGATCATACAAGAGAGAAGCAATAAAAGATATTCTTTCAGGTTTAAATGAATAACTGAAAAATAAATCAAACGTTAATTCTTCTCTATAATTTCATAACTTTTTAAAACTTCTTTCTTCAAGATATTGTAAACCCTTTACACGATAAAATACCATATCGAAATAACAAAACATACATGTAAAAAGTAGTTCATTTTTTCTTTAAAATCTTGAAATGAATGGATAGATCATTTTGCCAAGAAATTTAAACTCAAAGTATGTAAGTTTAATTTGCTTATATATGTGAAGTTATGTAAGAGCTTATATTTTACTTGCAGAAATGTTACAGGCCTTCTTTCATCTTTCTAAGGGAAAAATTGCGAGGGTGATCTCATTTTTTTTAAGTTGAAAAGATCAGTCTTTGATATAAATCCATTTTAATGTAGCTTAAAACATTTACATGGTATTTCATTCCATTTAAGTAAATTTATTCTTCCAGAAAAGGAAAATAAGGATTGCCATTCATTTTAATAACTACTATTGCTATCCATAAGATGGAAAAGATTTTTAAATGTATAAAATTTTCTCATTTTCTTGGTTACCAATGCCTTTTAAATACGTAAGTG